CCCCAAAACCCCAAAACCCCATTTCAATTCAGTGATCATTCCAAATAATTAATAAATATTTAAGAAATTAAGATTAATTACCAATGCCATTAAACAATCAAATTCTAGCATGCATTTCCTTCTTTTTAAACGATGCCAGAGGTTTTTTCATCCCTGCTCTTCCAAAACTCCTCCTTATTGCCTCATTGTCTTCTTCATTATATTAACTTCCACTATTACTGCTTGATTAAGACTATCGAGTTTTAACTTCTTCGTTGAATTCTTTGACTTTACTCAAAAAGTTATCCATTTGCAGATTTTCAGAAAGCTTTCTATTAATTGCTTCGTGAGTAGATCCTCCTTCTTTGGCATCTATCTTTGTCAAATATTTATTGCCTAATCGCTGCTCTAGCAGAATATCTTCTCTTTGATATCTTCTGACTGCTTCTTCTGCAAATTCGTTTGTAATTACGTCAGGCTCTATTGTCTGACTCAAGTTCTTAATCTCATCAAAATCCTTTTGGTAGTCCTCCAGGATCTACTAGTATTTCTCATATTCTTTTTCTTGAGTGTCATCTACTGGTTCAACATCCAAAATATCTGAGTATTGTTAAGGAGCTAAGTTAGCTCTGCCTCTGATTCTCTCCTCAAATTTATATCTGATTGGTCTCTAATCTTTTTCTTCCTATTCAGATTTTCTTCTTGCTTTTTCTATTGCTCTCTATCTCTCAGCTAGTCTCTTCTAATAATAGGGGTAAGTAGCCAGTAAATCAACATAAACTGGATCATCCTCAAGCGGTATGCCTTTATCTAAAGCCTTCTTGATTAGCAATAATCTCATAGCATCAATCTTGGTCTGCTTTAAGATCCTTGCTTGCTCTTCCTTCTCTTTTTGATACTTAAGAGATTTCATTCTTTCATTCTCTAATATCTCTTAATCCAGAGCTTCTTTACTAAAGCTGGGATCATTTATTTCCTACTCCAATTCCTAGTTAAGCTTCTACAATCTGTGCTTCTCTTATGGAGAAATTTAAGGAATATAGTGCTCATCATAAGGGGATTTTGTCGCTTTGAAGTTCATTATATCTTTGAACCCCATCTCTCTCAACTCCTTAACAGTCTTATTTTGAATCTCAATTGGGAACTGCTCCCCATCCAAAGAGTATACCAAATTTTACTCAGGTACGATCTGATCCTCAGTTACAGCTTAGCCCTCAGGAGATAAGAATATCTTCTTAGGATCTTTATGCATTTCCTGAGGTAAATATTTCTTATCCAATCTTGACTGAATCAAGTCAACTTTCTCTCTAGTATTTGGAAATAACTCAGCTATTTCTTCCAGTTTCTAATATTGCTCAACAGTCTCTTCTCTCTTTTGAATTAGAAGAGTAGGAGAAAGGTTTTAGCCAATGCCTTAGTTGATTCTAGTGATTTTATTTTTTATAGCTTTAAATTACTCAAACGAAGGAACTGATCCATCTTCAAGTTGAGTGTATACTTATCTACCCTCTTCATTTTACCTTTAAATTTCAAGTCTTTTGTACAGTTTACGAGGATCTTCTCCTAGATTATCTTTCATCTAGTGATATGCTGTCACCTTTATAATTTCCTTATACTTTCCAAATAAGGTTTCAGGTAGTTAAAAGAAGCCAAGCTGAGTATTCGCTTCAACCATTAACTCTCTGAACAACCTTATATTATCTGCAGTCTCCTATCCCTTCAGCAGCTAGTTTATAGCAAAGATAGTCCCTTCCTGGTTAATACCATCATTTTATCTCTTCATGATGTTTTACTCCATTTTGTCAAGCATAACCTAAAACATCATTAAAAGATTCTTATATTCTCTCTCTGGGCTAATGATAAATGAATAACCTCTTTCTATTTTAAGGTCGAACCTAGACATAGCTTCTTCATAAGTCTCAATCATAAATCTACCCTAAGAGGGAACTTAGCCCCATCTGATTATCTCATTATTATAGAGTTTCTATAGTCTAAGTCTGTAAGGCATATTTATTTATGTGAATTCCTATTAAATATTTCTTTCCTTGATCTCCTCTGCATAAATACCATTGAAAAGCTGATCAAATAAAGATTGTTATTGCCCGTTCTATATATAAAGCTGGGCTTCTCTGCTGAAAATATGAGTAAGGATAGCCAATTTTTCTAGAATTTCATCTAGAGGAGGTTTGTTTTATGGGCCGAACTCTCTACTATAAATCTCATCAAACTCTAAAATATCTGGATTCATGGCCTTATCTTTGATCTACTTCAAAGTGTAATCATTACATATTAAAGCTGTTTCTTTGTAAATACTCATGCATTTCTTTAGAAAACTTGCCTAGTACTCGTTGAATTTATCATACAAAATATTCTGATGATCTCTAACAGCGATTTTCTTCATGCAATTGTGAATATCTATTGGGTATTCTGATGGAACAAACTCTCTATTGTTAGCTCCTTTGTTGTATTTATCTAAGACATCTTGAAATATTTCTCTCATTACTTCAATATCTACATTATAGGCTAATTCTTCAATTGCAAGCAATTCAGGTGGTGCTCCAAAAAATAACTTTTTATTTTGCATACTACACGCATATTTTGCTATACTAAGCTAAGGCTTGGCCATTTTCCTTTTGTATAGATGATCTAGTTCATAGACAGTAAAATCATTACTATCGGGGTTTCCTGGACCTCCATCATCCTCTTCTCCTGGCAAGGGAGTCTCATCAGCATTTTCATAGTAAAATCTACCAGTTTAATGCATCTCATCCAAGAAGAATTTAGTGAACTTCTTTTTAGCCAATGTATGCTCTGCTTAAGGCTTTTGAATTTTAGGTGCAAATTGATACTTAAAGTAGCCCTTGCGAATATAATCAATTTCAGAGTGGGAAAGATTTCCAATAATTATGGCCTAGGGATCCTTATCTTCAATATCATTTAGCAAGGCATCGTTGCTATTATAATCATCATCTTCAAAGCCAAATAATCTACCGAAATTACCAGCCACAGTGAAGTGAGTCCTACTTGGCTTCCTGTTAGGAATGAAATGGATAGAGTAGTTGTCGATTTTCTTTTCTGCAAATTAAGCTCTAGCTTGCATCATTTCCTTTCTATAGAACTCCTTGTCCTGTTAAAAATTCAAACCAGATGCCCTGTTAGATGCTCTCAGAAGGGGTTTCTTCATTTAATTGAAAGTCTCTTCATCTAAGGCTTTTGCATTCTTTGAAAACTTAAAAAGTTTTTTCATTTACGGTTTATATTATTTATATAATACTTGCGACATCAATTATTTAGCTTTATTTTCCATTGGGGTTTTGGGGTTTTGGGGTTTTGGGG